AATTAGAGGTTTGAACTGTGACAGGTCTGACATTTATAATGGATATGTGGCAGTCATGTTGTGTAGTGTTTTTATAGGCCTTTTAAAAAATACATAATGGATTTGTACACATATTTGTGTGTTCTAGGTGCAATTGACTCCTGGTGAATGCCTTGCAGTTTTCTTGTCAAGATTTTGAAAGTGATTTGCCATTGCCTGTTCCCTAGGGCTGAGAGAAAGGGACAGGTTCAAGGTCAGCCAGTTGGCTTCATGCCGAAGGTCTCTATTTCTAGCCTCCTGCTACCAAAGTGGTTCTCATATATAATGGATCATTCTATTATCAAGGAAAACTGAAATCAGGGGTGTTATTTTTGTAGGAAAATAATTGTTCTAAAAAGCAGGAAAAATGCCTGGAGTATTGTGGCTATATATATGCATGCATGCATGCATGCATGCATACATACATACATACATANGTGTGTGTGTGTGTGTGTGTGTGTGTAAGGGGAGTGAGTCTTCGCACTTTTCTTTGGCAATATTTCATAAGTGATTGGTTTCTTCCTAGGGCTGAGAGAAAATGACTGGCCTAAAGTCATTGAGCTGGCTTTGTGCCTAAGGCAGAACTAGAACTCAGTCTCCTGGTTTATATTGTAGGCCAGAGATTCCCAATCTTGGCAACTTTAAGACACATGGACTTCAACTCCCAAAATTTCTAGAAGTTCACATTTCTTAAAGTTAGCAAGATTGGGAACTCCTAGTCTAACCTGATACCTTAACCACTATACAAACTGTCTCTCACTTCTCTCCTTTGCTCCACCTTATGTTGATACTCTTAAAGGCTCTCTTCATTCCTTCCTCCAGCCCACTTTTTCCATTTAGCCTTTGCTAATCCCCAGGCTTTCCTGTAATTATAGGATTATTTCTGGTCAAGATGTTGCTCATGCAACTGTGCAAGTTCAGAAACACACTTTAACAAAAGTTCCAGGTACAATTGATTTTCACTTTAATATACTACTTTCCTCCCTTTTTTCTTTTTATATAGGTGTACACACAAATTTGCTTAAGAGGAAAGCACAAGACAACCCTTCTTGTGGTTACACTGTTGGGGATTAACAAGGTTTAATAAAGAAAGATACTATATATAACCCTAACAGTTGTTTTCCTTTTATTGATAAAGGTTATGCTCCTTAAGAAAGGAAACTTGATTCTTTATAGAGGACCAAACATAGATATTCTGCAAAGCGTGTCTTCAAAGATAACTCACTTTTTATTTAGGGGTCATAGTACCCAAGTCTAAATTCTACAACCATAGAAAACAAGCAGAAACGTAGATTATAAATTACATAATTAGACATAGAGTGATATATTCCTAATTTGTTTGATTATGAGGAGGATTAGCTCAAAGGTTGAGTTACTAATGATCAAAGAAAAAGTGAGGCAAATATATTTCCAAAAGAAGGAGAGGAATGGTGCAGGGCATTTGATAGGATCTTCAGTAAGTAAGGCTGAAGTTTATCATATGGAAATGTGCCTACTGAAAAAAAATTACATTAACAATGTTCTTGGAACTATTCTTTATTTCAATTTGTGGTAGAAAATGACATATGCCATACATCTCCTATATGTTCAGATACCATGCAAAGCACGCTACCAGTTGCTGATCCACATTTTCATCATATTTTGGTTCAAATTCAAGAGTCAGCTTATCCACAGTTCGACCTATAAGCAAATACTGTATATACAGGATATATGAGTTCTTTTTTAAAAAAAGGTATTACTATATATGCTCAAAGATAACTCTATCCACAAATAAGATGAACCTAATTTGAGGGGGAAGAGTGTCTGTTGTAGCACTTAGAATTCTCAGTCAAAGACCACTTGAAAACTGAATTACACACTCTCACAAATGTATTAATCTCCAACGGATTCCAAAGAAAAACAATTAACAACCTAATCGAAAGGGAGACTCCCCTCCCAAGAATCGAGACACAGAACAGGACAACGGCATCGCCCTCCTCCCTTACATCAAAGGCACTACAGATAAAATCAGCAAAATTGTCCACAAGCACAATATCAAGACAGCCTTCAGCACTGACCAAAAAATAGCCAACATCTTAAGAAACCCCAAAGACAANATATATATATATATCCTGTTGGTCTAGTCAATTTAAATATACTCACTAAGTTCAGCAAGCTGCATTTAATTTCTTGGTGCAACTGCCTAATTTGTCTATTTCAGATACTGTGCAGATCGAAAAGACAGGTTGAAAGTTTAGGATATTATTTATTACTGTGTAAAAAACTGAAATGTTGAGCACATACATATGTTCTCTATCTGTGTGTGTTTCTAGAGTCAGAAAGGAGAAAGGACATAAAGAATAACTAAAATGCAACCATATACTGTGTAGGGGATGAAATCACTCACTGTTTGAGCAATATTTACACTAGTGTTTATTATTTCCAATTAAAAGGAAGATATGGGGAAGGGGACTTAATAGGCCACACACAGAAGCCACCCCAGTTTTATTACAAGAGCAAAGTATTAGCATTTTGAAAGTGGCTAAAATAAGCAGAGATGAAAGAGTGGATAAACTTCTACTAAAGAAGCCTTGCATTAAAAAGGAGAGTGACAGATCTGTTCAGGTTTGGTGATTAGGAGAAGCTGCCATCCTTGCTATGGTATTATTTAAATTCAATTCAAATACTTGCCACTTGATATATGGTCCATTTGTTCTTTGGAGAATCAAACCAGAGAGTCCAGAGTTGGAAGGGACCTTTCGAGGTCTTCTAGTCCATCCTGCACAAGCAGGAGACCCTGTACCATTCTGGACAAATGGCTGTCCAATCTCTTCTTTAAAACTTCCAGTGATGGAGTATCCACAACCTCTGAAGGCAACCTGTCCCACTGATCAATTGTTCTCCCTGTCAGCAAACTTCTCTTAGTTTTAGCTTGGATCTCTCCTTGATTAGTTTCCATCCATTGCTTCTAGTCCTGTCTTCAGGTGCTTTAGAAAACAGGTTGAACCCTCTCTTTGTTCTTTCTTCTCCATGCTTTCTCCACTTGGAGATATTGGAAGGACTACAAACAACACATGATGCAGATGTTTGAAGTAGGCATCCCTTGGCAGATATCTTTGCTAATCACCCCATAGTCTGAGACCTTGTAAACACATGCACTTATGTGTAAATACAGTTTTTTATCCAGTTCTGCTAACTCTGCTAACTCCTTTAATTTTAAGTGATAGAAGCTGTTGCTTCAAATTAATTGTAGTTAAAATGTTTTGGTGCCATTTAAAAGAGCCTTAATTAAAAAGCAATTAGTCACAGACATTATATTGTGGTCCCAATCTACCGGGTCACCTCTGCTTATAGATTTTCTCTCAGGCTTCCTATTATCTTCCTGGGAAAAGCTTTGAAATGAATAAAGTCTGTTGTTCAACATTCTCATAGAGCCCCTCTGTAAGGGAGAAGGGGGTTTCAAGAAAATTGATAAATAAATAAATAATTTCTCCATGGAAACCTTGTTACAAAGCATTGCAAGACATATGCCCTTCCCAGGCTCCTGGGAGTGACCCTTCCTTCCTTTGCTGTCCTTGTCTTTGCTATACACAGACATGGTGCTTGTCCAGTCTTCTTCACTGTTTATCATAGGTTCTCTGAATGCTAATGAAAAAGGGCCAAAAGTAGAGGCTTCTGTGAGAATGGCAGCGTTTGTTTTTACATTTGAAGTAAAAAGTTAAAACACTTTATTAAAACAAAACCACTCTCCTTCCTTTACAAGGAGAGTTTCAAGACAGGAAAGCATCCCCTCCCTCTGAAATATGTTGCCCAGAAGACACCTTCTTATTTGGGGGCAATCCAGAGTTCTATGATTTACATTGGATGGTTTGAGTGCATGGACAGGGTTAATGACTGTTGTGAGAGCCTGAATTAGGCCTTAAAAGATCATATACAGTTTATAGAAAACTATGTACTGTGCATTTGTTTTTATTTATCTATGTGTAAATAATTTACATCTTTATTATGTTTTACAAATTATTTAAATGTAAATAATTGAAAATGTTGTTATCCTCTATGTCTCCATAGGATCAGTTTCCTTTGAGCACATTCTAGTTTCTTTCTTGGAATGCTCCCCCCCCCCCCCCCCGCTTTAAATAGATTTTTTTTTAGAATCAACATTTTGCTTCTCTTATCTATGTTGAATAAATCTTGTAGAAAGAGATTTATCCACATTGGTTTAAAAATGTGGATTTCTTACCTCAGGATATAATTTGAGATACCTAGTAAACAGCTGTCTTTGAAATTTGAAATACTAGTAAAGAATGGATCCAGTCTGAGCTAGTTATCATTAATTGTGAATACCAGTAATTAATATTTTACTTGAGTTAGAACATCTGTATATTTTTACTTATTTATTAAACATCGACTTCATTAAGAAAAAATGAAGGAAATGTTCATAGAACTAAGTTTCAGATTTTTGAATTGTAATCACAAATCACATACATGTAAATTTTCTGCTTAAACAATTCATAAGAAGCTCTAGAATAACTGGGATTGTGTTGCAATAGTATTTGTCTAGCCAGCATGAGTGGCCAGACAACTTTCAGACAGCCATGTTCTGAATTAATATATTAAACTACATTTCTAAACTGTCAATTGGCTCGTTTTCATTTTAAGTAGATAAGTAAGTCAGTTAAAGGTAAGGGAAGAATCTTATATATCTGGCTGAAGGGGATATATTCATAACTTGGCAGCAAGCATGCCTATCTATTGAATAGACACCAGCAAACTTATTTGATAGGGCATTTAAGGAGGACAGAAATAGGTTTTTTTAAAGATGTATGCAAGCTATCAAATCCTAGGGTCGGAAGAGACTTCTAGTCCAAGACTTTAAATAACATTATTAATGAAAGTGAAGTCCTTTGATGTAAGAAAAAAATAGGCCATACTTAAATTTTTATTCTTGATTTGGATTTCTTGCTAGTTGGTTTATTTTGTCGGTTTGTCTTTTTTTTTTCCAGATCAGAGGTCTTAAAGTGCCCAGTTCCTTCACAAAGCAACTCAGAACAGAAGACAAATGTACCCCTGGAAGGACAAGATAGCTTATCACTTGCCCAGCAAGATAGACGTTCACCAACTGGTGGTGCAGGAGTATTGGAAAATGGTAGGAAGGGGATAAAAATCTTATTACAGAGAACTTTAGTGGAAAAGAACCTCAAGGGTGAGGATGTTGTGGTCTGCTGGTGGCCTATGAAACTGGCAGCAGAGTCAGACAGTGAGGAGGTTGGGGAGGAACATGGGCCAGTCGTGGAGTCTGAGGAAGGCTCGGATGTGGGCTCTGTGTCGGAGGCAGAGAGGGGGGGCAGGGCCATATGCCAGTTAGCAGAGAGGGGGCCAGGGCCCATCTGGTAGTTATGTACTGCCTCTGGAGTCTCCGGAATCTGACATCAGTGAGGCAGAAGAACAGTGTGAGCCTGTTCCTACTGTGTGCATGCGCAGAGCTTCCAGAAGGCAAGAACAATTAAGACAAAAAGGGTGAGTAAGGCTTGGAGATGATTGGCCCCTCCCATAAGACCTAAAAGAGGAGCAAACCGATGTGAGCCTTTGCAGGAAGCAATTTTGTTCATTCTGGTTGGTTCAAACTCTGAGAAGCTCTGTGTGACTCTGTGCTCCGTTTGGTCTTGCAAAACTAATTGGCAATTAGGTCTCTGGCAGCATTTCAAGGGAGATAAAGGTGGGTGCTTATCAGCATTACCCTGAAAGACTGTGGCAGGTATCTGTCGGACTCTTTACCGACTGTGGCTCATTATGGTCTGAGAATGAATATAATTCACAGCCGTTTAAATAAAAAGAGGGTTTTGGGGACTAAGAGTGTGATTTATGCTGTCTCAGGAAGCCTAGGTCAGAATAGAGGATTCAAAGAAAACCTCAGGAGGATAATTGGGGGTACAAATAAATGCTCCACCCTCAAGAGTCTCCTCAGAATATGTTGGCTATGTTTTTAATGGTCTCATGCTGTTATGGAAAACTTTATTATGGAAACTGTGACTTTTTTTTCCCTTTGAAATGATTTTATAGCAGTGAACATATGGTGCCTCAGCCAATACTATAAACACAACAACGTGGTAAGACTTTCTAATAGGATGGCATGCACTGCAGGGCTAATTTTAATTCATATATTCAGATTCATTTAATCTTCCCTTTTTAGCAGAACTAGAAAGATATAAAAATAGCATTTGGATTAATTCTTTTTTTAAAAATCACAAATCAAAAAGGCACAGCAGTTTTGCTTTCTTTTACCTTTATAAAATCTTCCGTAAAGGTAAATCAGCCATTGCAGGATAACAAAAAAAAAAGCAGAACCCATCAATTGAATTTAAATGGAAAAGTTTTACCTGGGTCTCTTAAAGGGACTAGAGTGTTTTCCATTGTGTTCCTGTTTGTTCCTGCTTTAAAAATGGTCAGATTTAAGGATAATTGGTTAATCATCTCCATACATTTGATCTTACAGTAAACATTGTAGAGCGTTTCCTATTCCAGAAGGTTTACTTCTGGAAAACTACTAGTTCATCCCCTGGAATGGCTGAACTAGCACATTCTGGAAGAAAAATGGAACAAATGTTCCATACCCAGAACAGGATATTTTTCACACAATTAGCTGTTATTGAAGTCTCCTGCATAGAAATGTTTGGAATGTTTGTTAGAAAGAATTCCAGTTTATCCTCCAAGATTATGAAAAATGTACTCAGATATGTCAGTCATGAAGCTGAAGTTTTTAAAACTTATTTTACTGGATTTTTCGGAGTATAAGACGCACAGGTAGTATAAGGCACACCAAGATTTTGAAGAAAAAAAGTTTTTGCACTCTGCAGACCTCCCAAAAACAGCCCCCCTTTTTTTTTGCAAAAAAAAGGCTCAATTTTGTAAAAAACAAAGGTGTGCCTAGCCTTTAAGAAGCTTGTAGAGTGCTCCTGGGGACTGGGGAGGGGCAAAAATGAGCAAAAAATAGCCCGTTTTTTGCTCATTTCTGCCCTCCCCATCCTGCAGGAGCACCATGGAAGCATCCTAAAGGCTATGCATGGGCATTTTTGCAAAGGGGGCAGGGTTTTGGGAGGCCAAAAATGCTGCATTCAGTGTATAAGACGCAGCCAGATTTTCATCTCTTTTTTGAGGGAAAAAAGTTCATCTTATACTCTGAAAAATATGGTAATTTGATTTTTAAAAACTTTTTCTAATTGATTTAAATTTGTACTTCATCGATTATTTATTTATATTTTATTTTATATAATTTCTATGGTGCTTCATCGTAAGACTTTGGGCAGGTTAAAAAAGTAAAGTAAAATGAAAAAATGATAAGCAACATAGCAATAGCAATAGCAGTTAGTCTTATATACCACTTCATAGGGCTTTCAGCCCTCTCTAAGCGGTTTACAGATTTTATCGGTTTACAGAGTCAGCATATTGCCCCCACAGTCTGGGTCCTCATTTCACCCACCTCGGAAGGATGGAAGGCTGAGTCAGCCTTGAGCCGGTGAGATTTGAGCCGCCGAACTGCAGATAGCAGTCAGCTGAAGTGGCCTGCAGTACTGCACTCTAACCACTGCGCCACCTAGTCATAAAGACTTTGAAAATGTAATAAATATAACCAATAAAAACATATAATGATAGCAGTCCCCATTGTACATTATGGCCTAAAGCCTGATGAAAGAACATAATTTCTTTTCAGAAGATTAATAGGGACAGGGAGTTTCCTTAAATTGAAGGGCAATCTATAATTGTCTAGCCACTTGGTTCTCTTTCCACTGAGTTTCACATGGATGGGAATCCTGCAGCATGCTTCCTAGCTCAAATGCAGAATGCAGAATGATTCAGCAAGAAGAAAATGATCCCCATAATAACTGGGACAACTGTTCAGAAGATTGTGGCGAAACAGTCAAGCCCTCTTCCCCAATTATCATACCGTGTAACATCTACTTGGGAAGACTTGGAACCACTGAAAAATAGTGTCTTCAGCATCCAGTCCTTACAATGTTATCAAATATTACTGATAAATCTACCTGAACCAGAAGAGATGTACTGCCTTAGTCAAGGTTTAGGTATAGATCATGTAGATGAATGATCAGCGCAACTTCTGTCTTATGCTTGGCCTGAAATATGACTGGCAGAGATCTAGATGACCAGTTTCTTTCTAGACTTTCTGAGTCCCAGTTATCTACTCCTCCTAAAAGAGAATGGAGCAAAAATTATCCAGCATCGCTGGACTAAAGGCAAATTCACCCATCTGGGACAGACCACCTTAACTGCTCCTATTGCCCTGCAGAAGTGAGACAGAAAATAATTTCACAATGACAAATTATGGATGGAAATGACTTCCACCTTCAGATCACAAACCCACTTCTCTGAGTTGGACCAAGTATGACCTGGAATAAGCATGACTGCTACCATGGCCATGAGATCCTGAACCACTCCTTATCCTTCCCCTGGGCATGGAACCACCAGGTAATTTTGTATCCTACTGTCTATGGAGATCCTCAGTCATCCANGTTCACTCAAACCAGTAGTGGAAATCGCGAGTGGGCCCGGCTACCCACCCGGCACGTTTTTAAGGCCGGGCGAATGCACGGAAAGCACGCAGGTGGCAAACCAGTGGTAACAAAATGTGAAACCCACTGCTTGTCCCAGGATTGAGTGATGATCATTTGCAAAGTTCCCAACTGGCTTCCGACAACAATGGGAAAAGCTATATTTGCTTAACAACTGTGTGTTTCACTTAACAACTATGGTGATTTGCAAAAAAGGCTATAAGCTTGGATGCAACACATTTAACCACTGTATTGCTTAGCAACAGAATTTCCATAGCCAATTGAGGTCGCACGTTAAGGACTACCTGTAGCATATCCTTAGATACAGCTAATCCTCAACTACAATTGAGCCCAAAATTTATGTTGCTAAGTGAGAAATTTGTTAAGTGCGTTTTGCCCCATTTTACGACTTTTCTTGGCACATTTGTTAAATGAATCCATGTTAAATTAGTAAGATAGTTGTTAAGTGAATGGGTTTCCCCATTGTTTCTGCTTGTCAGAAGGTTGCAAAATTGATCACATGTCTCCAAGACAGTGCAACCATCATAAATGTGAGTCAGTTGTCAAACAGCTGAATGTAAATCACATGACCATGGGGATGCTGCAACAGTCATAAGTGTGAAAAATAATCATAAGTCATTTTTTCAGTGCCATTGTAACTTCAAACGGTCGCTAAGTGAATTGTTGTAATTCGAGGACTACCTGTATTTGAAAAATTAAATGACTACACTCTAGTGTTCCTTCTAACAGATGTTTATATACGATTTAGAAGTATTTGTTCTTTAGGGACTTCTCAAGCCTGTATGAAAATATAGTATGTTTTGAAGGAATCGATTTGGTATGCTTATTTGCATACTAATCTCATATATAATATATTATATGTTGATCTCATATGTTTACAATTTGGAATTTTATTTTCTAGGGTGGCAGTTAAGTTTTACAGTCTAGGAAAATCATATTTATATATCAGGAATTCACCTGTCTGTTTTTTCATAAAAAATTATGCCAGTAAGGAAAAAAAATGCACATTCTTGATAGCATCCTTTGTAACTATGCTTTGAACTGGAAATTGGTGAAGAGATATTGGCCCCCGGCTTATCCTTTTTCACAACTGTGTCATCCCAAGCTTAAAGTGCTTTTCTATACATATTTGCGTGGTTCACTTCTTTTATTACAGTTCATAGAGCTGAGGTGGCGCAGTGGTTAAATGCAGCACTGCNGTTTTATGTTCCCTTTTCCCCCCTTTGAGTTGTTCGCCGCCCTGAGTCCCTCCCGGAGAAGGGCGGCATACAAATAAACTAAATCTTAATCTTAACTTGCAGCCGATGCTGCCATTTAGCCAATTCAAATATATTATACTGTAGCTCTGGATAAAATTAAGTGGCTATGTTAAAGAAATTCTGGATGGATCCTAAACTATTACACACTCGGATAACACTCTCTCAAAGGATTCCGGATATGGTTGGAACTGCAATAATATTGTAGCTCACTGTAACAGCGTTGCTAAAAAAAAAAAGCATTGAGAGTTGTAAACTTAATTTTGTGAAGCTTTTTTTCTGGAAATACTGTATTGCTAATTAGAGCTTATGCTAGACCCTCTTAGAGTATTGTTCGACTGTTTGGAATCCCCAACCTATAGGTAGCTGACATCCGTACAATCGAGCAGGTTCAAAAGTACTTTACGAGAAAAGTCTTGCACTCTTCTGTACACAATATAATTCCGTATGTTAACTAGGCTCGAAATTCTCAATTTGGGTAACTTAGAACTGAGTCGCTTGCGATCAGACTTAGATATTGAATAAAAAATGTTTTACCTGTAAATGACTTTTTTCTGTTTTAATCGCAATAATACGTGTGCGAGGAACCATTTTAAACTCAATGCAAATTGTTCTAAACTTGACTGTAAAAAATATGATTTCTGCAATAGAGTTGTCAAAGTCTGGAATGCCCTACCTTATTCAAATGTCTCAGCTACAATTTTTCACAGTTTCAGTCACAAATTGACTTCCGTGGTCCTTACTTCATACTTAAGTGGTCAATAGAGGGGTGTGTGTGCAGAAGTGCACTAATGTCCCTATTGTCCCTGTCATTGTATTTTGATTCTCTTATTATTGTTCTCATTTTTGTTTGACAAATAAATTGTACAACATTTACAAGGACTGGAAAATGTAAAATGTATGCCTTAGGAAGTTTTGTTTTAAAGTGCAGTGTAAAAAAAAGACAATGGATTAGACCTCTGTTTGCTACAAGCAACTGCAGAGAGTGACAATATGTAAGAAATGCAGCAAGATTCTTATTGCTTGTTACAGCAAAGCAGAATGAGGCTTAGTCTGAATTGTTAAAATGTAAGCACAGAGTCAGATAGCAAATAAACATTTAAGCTGCGAAATCTACCTCCTTGGCAGACTATAATATTTCGGCCAATGCATCAATAGAATCTTAATCTATAGGATGTTCTTTCTTAATCCTAGTAATGCAATCATACCATGTATGAATTGTAAAGGATTTGTATAGGTCATCTAATCCAACACCCCATTCCAGTGCAGGAATGTCAAAGTCATTTTGTGATTTTGTCCTTGAAGGACAAATCCCCATCTTGGTGTCATTTATAAATCTAACCAGCATGTTTTCCATTCCATCTTTTAGGTCATTCATAAAGATAGCTTTGGAACAAAACTAGCTAATAGCCCAAGTGTTGCAGTAATTGTATAATGCCAACAGATGAGCACTACAATAAGTGCATACAGTAGAGTCATTATGCCTTCATAGTCAGTGGTGGGTTGCGCCCAGTTCGGCCCGGTTCAGCCAAACTCATAGTAGCGGCGGCAGAAGGCCCACCTGCCCGGATACTTCTGCACACATTCACAGAAGCATTGTATGTGCAAGCGCACGTCGGAGCACACCTGAACAAGTAGTAAAAATATTTGCAACCCAACACTGTTCATTTCACTGTAAAAACCTGGCTGTTCCGGCAGGCCTGGGGCTGTTGACCTCACTGTTGAGGTCCAGCCCCAATTAGAATGA